TGACCATTTTAACACAACGTGGTGCGATCATCCCCCTTGCGCGGAGTGACGGTTTTCCACCCCGCACAACATGATCTACTCGACCACCATTATGGTTACCGCCCAAAAAAACACATCGGTAAAAAAAAAACGGTAACCTGGTTGCCGAGTTCACGTAGTGAATGGGCTTGTTTTACAACGTCGTTGCCAAGCGATGAAATCCCAATCCCGATGGCAAACACCGAGGGGGGGCTTGTTTTACAACGTCGTTGCCAAGCGACGAAAACCCAACCCCGATGGCAAACACCGGGGGGGGATGGACGGCGGAAAATCTCCATCCTTCATAAGACACCGGGTGACTCCGGCCAAGGTTTGTCAGTCCCGTTCCGATACACCGATTTGTTGAGGGGTGTTGGTGGCGGCGTATTCGAGCTTGATAGCTGAGTTCTTGCAGTAGTCTCGAAATTGGGATCCGGTGTTCTCGCCTCCCTTGTCGCAGCGGATGGTCTCGATCCGTTGGCCTTTTGCCGCTGCGACGCACATGTTGCACGTGTACGCTGCCTCGGCCGTGTCAGCTTTCTTGCGCAGCCGGTACAGATGTTTCATTTTCTTGTAGTCGTCGGTGATCTTGCACGCGTACGGGAAGTAGTCTCCTTTATATTTCGCACGTGGATTAACAGCCCCCACGTTGTCGATACAAGTTGTCCAGGCCGTGATAGTTCGCGAGTCGATTGCTTTGGGTGGGGGGACTGCTTGTGTTTCGCGATCTGGAAGACCTCGCAAGGGGAGAGACTGTCGCGATAGTCCACCTCGGTACCAGTGTCCTTCCGAAGGATGTCCAGGCTCCGAGCATGTGAGATGTCCAAGCCTCCTGTGCCAGGTGTCCGCGCTCACAAGCGTAAAGCAGACGGCGTTCGCCGTGTGGGTCAGTGAGTGCTTCTGGTGGGGCACGAGGAATCTCGTGCCAGATGGCTGGACGTTCTGCTCGAACGTGATGTCGAGGGTGCACATACCTTGGTCTCGCGAATCTTGTGTGAGTGGAATCACCTTGCCTTGAATAGCGAGGTGCGGAGTTCGACGACGCAGCGCAATCCCTTTTTCAGGAGGGAGGTGGGTGAAAAACTNGGTGTCCGCGCTCACAAGCGTAAAGCAGACGGCGTTCGCCGTGTGGGTCAGTGAGTGCTTCTGGTGGGGCACGAGGAATCTCGTGCCAGATGGCTGGACGTTCTGCTCGAACGTGATGTCGAGGGTGCACATACCTTGGTCTCGCGAATCTTGTGTGAGTGGAATCACCTTGCCTTGAATAGCGAGGTGCGGAGTTCGACGACGCAGCGCAATCCCTTTTTCAGGAGGGAGGTGGGTGAAAAACTGTTGTGACCAAGCCCCGGAACGACGAGTCCCTGAATGCGCACGCTCAATTGCTCTCCTCGATTGTCCTTGACGGTGCAGTGTAGGACGCCCGTGGCCGTGCCTGTGAGTTGGAGAGTTTCGCTGGGTGTAATCGTAAGGGTTTCCGTCGGGGATGAGGCGATTGTCGAACATGGTCTCCGATGCTCCCGTGTCTACCAGCAGTCCTACCCCAGTGGAACTCGCGGCGAAGTGGCGTCCTGAGATGCGGGAACACGTGGCGAACATGAATCCGCTGTCGAAGGCGTCCTCGTCCCGGGTGAAGTCGACAACTGCCACTTCTTTGTTTGAGTCATTCCTGTTGGACGCCGACGAGCAGTGAGTGCCGTCGCAGCACGCGGTGACTGCTCTACTTGAGTCCTTGGTGGCTTCCGGGCGCTTTCCTCCTTGTTGGTAGCATTCCTCGTACGAGTGAGACGTAGTGTTGTCCTCGGAGCACTACTTGGTAGCTCCGGCGGGTTTCGTTTTCTTCTTCGAGCTGTTCTTGATTATGGGGCAGTTCCTCCTGATGTGCCCCGGCTCGTAGCACCTGTGGCAAATGATGTCAGACGCGGTCGTTTCCATGGCAAATCCTCGACCAGCTATGCGTCCCTTCCATCCCTTGCGGGATTATTCGTCCAAGAAGATGTTGCGCATGGTGGATTGCATGTCCAGGACGTTGAAGGTTGGGTCCCTGAACACCATCAG